CCCCAAAACCCCAAAACCCCAAAACCCCAAAACCCCAGTGGGAAAGGTTAAATTGGAATAGTTATTTATGAAATATTTCACAAGTAAATTCTTTAGCCATGTTTGAACTGGTCTTCTATGGGGAAGGGTTAGGGGGGTGCGAGCAGGGAGAGGATTTCTTACATATTGACTTTTTGCTTTTCGTAAGGTGATTCTTTGGGGTAAGTGAAATTTAGTACCACTTCGGCTGAATGAATCTCTGCCATACTGGATTACTTTTGGATTCCGGATCTTATGTAAGGAAATATGCTTTTCTTTCATAATTGCTACTGGATCTTCCCCAAGAGAGGCATCTCCAATTGGGTATCCTGAGAATATTTTCAAGAAATTATCTCTATCACTTGTAAGCTTTGTTTTATCTTTAAATATCTAAAGTAATCAGATGGTTATTACTCATTGTAAGATTGAATCTGGTTCTTGCATACTACTGCTAGCATAATTCCTCTCACTATTTATTCCTTCTTTCTTTATCTTGGTCCTAAAAATAACTCTACGCCTTACTGAAAGAACTTTCCTGAGATTGAGTCGTACACTGACTTTCGTATTGTTCGATACTTCAAATATTTCAACATTGATGCTGCAGATGAAGGAATAAAATTAGGAAGAGGCTTATTTATTTTATGAGTCTGATTCAGAAACTTCGATATATTATCCATTTTATTTCTCAGGTTCTCCTAGTCCTCACTACAAATATAATTAGAAATCTCACCAGCAGTATTCTTAATGACTTAGAAAACTCTCTTTGTTTTTCTCTATCATTTAGGAATTCTTTAAACTCATCAATCGAGATAGATCCAGAATTATCTGTATCCACAACTTGGAATAGGAGTCTCAGTGACTCTTTATTAATTTCCTGGCTATCACCAGACATATGTTTTAACTAAAAATAGTAAATATAGGGAGCTTACCACTTCTTCTATTTCATTAATTTCCAGAGTGCCTGACCCATCGGAGTCAAAGAGGTGGAAGATGTTCTCTATTTCATTATTCCTGATGATCTCAGTATCGGTAAATCTGTACTTTTTCTTGCTCTTCTCCTTGCTCCTGCTTCTGAACCATTTAAGGGATGTGTTTTCCTTTAAGATATCTATAAATCAGCCTCATAACTCACTTTTAGGAGACTGTGATTGGACAGAGTTGTTGCGATTACCCTCAGAAGTGCTAGGCAAAGCGATCTTTTGGGCTTCGTAAAGCTTAGCAAATGTTTTCTGGTTATTTCCTCTTGTATTTCTGGATGACAATCTTTGAATTCCTCTTAATTTTATCCATCCCTGAAGGCCTCATAGTCGATTCTCTAGTCTGACTTGCAGTACTTTCATTTGTAGCCTTACGAATGGAATATGACTTGTTTTTGAAATAATCCTTTTGAAATTTCCTCCTAAATAGAGTATGTCACGATTAGAACAGAGTAATTCAAAAGAAAATTATGAATAAGCTGTCTAAGAACTTTATTAGAAAACCTACCTTCTGCCTTCAGGTGAATTCTGGAACATATTATGCCCCGTCCTCTCAAATATTTGTGTATTACTTAATTCACCCTTATGTTTAGGAGTATTCCTCATACTTTTCCCAATCCTGTTATATCTTTGGAAGAGTCCTTGTCTCATCTATGCCTAAAACTTGGAAGTCTTACTGTTTCAAATTGATAATTTTCAATAAAATTTATTTTTCATGGGGTTTTGGGGTTTTGGGGTTTTGGGGTTTTGGGGTTTTGGGG